CTTCCTACCCCATCTTTCTTTGCTCCGTAGCTAACGACATCTGCAATCTCCCTGCGGACCCCGGCCCATGTTTAGCCTACATGCCCAGATACTTCTACAACTCGGCCACCAAGAGGTGCGAGGAGTTCATTTACGGCGGCTGCCAGGGCAATGCAAACAGATTTTCCAGTATGGACGAATGTCTCAAGACCTGTGGAAGCTCAGGTAAGACAGCAAGAGAAACTCAGCTAGTTGGGTCAGGAGCTGGTCAGAGGGATGTGAATGCAAAGCAGCTGGGGCCACAGAGACGGATCTCCCCTCGAATGACTGACTGGCTGCATCACAGCAGTGCCTAGTGGCTCCAGCAGAGACAGGACCCCAGCATGCCGGGCGCTGCAGAGACGCGGTGAGAGGCAGCCCTGGCCCGAGGAGCTCACACTCTGGCTAGGCAAAGGGAGGAGGGCTGAGGACGAGCGTGTGAGAGGAGTCCATGGTACAGCTCGTGCTGGGAGCTGAAACTAAATTGAAGGTCCCTGAGTCCCGGTAGCTGCATCCCAGCCTGCTCCGGAGGCCCCTGCTAGGGCGTTAATGACAATAACAATCCTGCTGAACACGTCTGTAGCCTGGCACCCAGAACCGCAGACCTGCTGGCCTGGCTCAGAGGAGTCATGCTCGTCTCTGGCCCAGTGGGGCGGGGGCTGAAGGAGCAGGAGTGAGTCCCAGTCTCAGACACCGGAGAAATGGCTCACCCAGCTGCCCTGGGTGCCGGGCATTTCCTCTCTAACCCCGGGCGAGCGCCCACGGGCCCAGGTTGCCTTTGCCTCAGGGTCCTGGTGTCCAGAAAGCCGAAGCAGCAGCCACCTTCCGGCGTTATTTATTACAAGCCGGGTGTGCGACGCTCTTTAGCACGATGCAGCAGGGGGTGCGTGATGATGTCACTGAGATACATTCAGGGTTCCCCAGTCGCCCAGCAGCCACCCCAGCCGGGGACTCTCCCGAGAGTTACTGGGCTGGTGTCACTCCGTGTCCATCTGATCAGCAGAGAAAGGCGATGGGATTGTCAATACCAGGGACAAGGTCCTGCAGTGCGTCCCCAGGCAAACTCCCGCTCCAGCCTCCAGGCCTTACTCTGGTTCTGGACGTGAGGATTTCAGACCCTTGAATCCAGGCATGGCCCCTTGTATTGCAGCAGTGGGGCTCCTGCACATGGGGGCAATGTGCCTGGGTGTCCCTGATGCAGCCTGTTATTACATTTCCACCTTCCTCACAGGGACGTTTCCCAACTCTCGCAGGGCCCTGCTGCTTCCCTGTTCCCTTTGGGAGGGGCAGACACCGGGGACAGCTCTCTTGTGTAATGGCCCCTCCCGGGACGGCAGTGCCGGGCTGGCGTGATGCTTTATAAGCTGGGGCAGCTCGGTGCTGGGAATCCTGGCCCCGCAGCACCATGAAATCAGGCCACCTCCTCCTGGGGCTCCTCATCCTCTGGGCTGACCTGACACCTGCCTCTGGGCAGCTCCGTCAAGGTGAGGGCTCCCTGCCCTGGCTCCCCACCCAGCCCGGCAGCCAGCGCTTCTCTCCTGCCTGCCCCCAGCCCCGTTCGCCCTCAGCAGCGCCTGCCCCGTATCCCCCACGCGACACAGGCCCTCGCAGCCTCCCTGGCCCTGCCGCCAGCCCCAGAGTCTCTCGCCCCCTGGGCATGGGGCTGTCCCCGGGGCTCCCCCTCTTCACCCCAGGGAGGCCTCCTTGCTCTGTCCCCGACCTTTCGCTCTTCCCCTCCCACTCCAGGACACGGAGCCTCCCTGGGTCTCCCCAGCCCCCTGGCTGCTCCTGGAGTCTTTCTACCCTCTAGGTTCTTCCTGGTGAGCCCCCCATGCCCATTGCTCCGACACTCCCTCGGACCCATCTCCCTCCGGGCCGGGTTGCAGCCTGGCTCTGGGATGTGCCCTTGGGTGTCTCCCTGCCATGTATTGGTCAGTGTGAGCTCTCTTCCCTCCCCTCCCCCACGCTCTCCGTCACCCCCACCCCCCATCCAGGCCCTCCTCACGTCCTTCCGGGTCTTTCCCTATTACACCCCCGGCTCGCCCCTGGGCAATGCCATCTCCCCCTCACCCCCCACCCCCCCGCACCAAGTCCAAAGGCAGGCACCTTCCTGGACTCAGGCAGCCCCAGTTCGGCCCCCTGCAGAACATGCTGCCCCTGCAGTGGGGAGCTTCAAACGGTGCCAGTGGCCACAGGAACGGGGGAGACGTTTCCTCAGGAGCAGGGAGGTTGCTGGGGGCTGCGAGTGAGCTCGGGCAGGAGGGGAGCCTATGTCTACACCGCTGCCTCTCAGCCTTTCTGGACACCTGTAGCCCTTTCAGGGGGCTGATTTGTCTTGCGTACCTCAGTTTCACCTCACTTAAAAACGACTTGCTTGCAAAATCAGACATAAAAATACAAAAGGGTCACAGCCACTAATACTGAACAATGGCTGACTTTCTCACTGTGACCAGACAATTACAAAATAAGTCAACTGGAATATCAATCTTGTGCTTACATTTCAGTGTATAGTCGATAGAGGTGTACAAACAAGTCATTGTCTGTATGAAATTTTAGTTTGTTCTGACTTTGCTAGTGCTGTTTATGTAGCCTGTTGTAAAACTAGGCAAATATCTCAATGAGGTGACGTACCCCTGGAAGACCTCTGCGTACCCCAGGGGTTCACGTACTTCTGGTTGAGAACCACTAGTCTAGACCACCACTTATCCAGTAGAACTTACGTCACTCAGGGGTGTGAATAAGCCACCCCTGAGTGAGATAAGTTACACCGACCTAAGCGATGGTGTGGACAGCTGATGGGAAGCTTCTCCCGCTGACATAGCTACCGCCGCTCATTAGGGTGGATTAATTAAGTCGATGGGAGAGCGACTCCTGTCAGCTTAGAACGGCTCCACTAGAGACCCTACAGTGGCGCAGCTGCATTGGGACAGCTGTGAGCTCTCGTGAGCAGTTGAAAACAGGCCCCGAAATTGGAAGTTTTCCGGCTGTCTTTGGGGAGCGGAGGAGGTCACCCCTGGGGGCTGAGCAGTTCGATTCCTCTGTCCCTGGGGGAGGAGGTACAGGGAGGGAGAGTCCATTGGCTGACATGACCCCCTTGCCTCAGGCCGGTGGGTCTGCCCCATGCTCTGTAACCCTGGTTCTCTTCTCCTTCGTTTCCAGTGAAAACGGGCAAGTGCCCCACTCCCATCAACGTGGGGGCTGCGAACTGCGATAACTTCTGCTCCACGGACGCTGACTGTCCCGGATCTGAGCGCTGCTGCAGTAACGGCTGTGGGACGGAGTGCAGACTCCCCATAGGAGGTGAGGGGTTCTCCTTCTCCACCCAGTGCCGGGTTTACAAAGACGCCAGTGGCGCCATGGAGCACCTGCCTGGAGGGGCCCAGCCCGGAAGAGGCCCCGGCCTGCTCCGTTTGCACTGCGCCCTGAGACCCTGCCAGCCACTCGCTTCTCTCGGCCTGCCCGCCGGGCAAGGGCTCCTCTCTGCCCTCTGCCCCCACCCACCGGTTTCTCTCAGCCCCCTGGCCGGACCCCAGTGCCCCTCCGGCTCCGGGCAGTCTCTGCTTCCCACCACCTGGAGGGCCCTGCCTGTCTCCCCGGAGCTGAGCGGCCTGGGACTGGTGCAGAAGCCTGGCCAGTCTCAGCCGGGGGGCGAGGGTGGGGGGCAGTGTGGGGGCTTGGCTGGGCCCCTCCAGGCAGGTGCATCCTGAGGGAGCCTGGCTGGGGCAGGCCCTGGCCTGGCTGATCGCGCCACTCCCGAGGGCCAGAGCAATTCCACGCCCTGGGAGTGGGGGTTCTGTGGGGGGTGCTGGGCTGTGAGGGGACGGGGAAGGAGTGGGTGTTGGGGCACTAGGGAGTGGGGGTTCTGTGTGGGGTGCTGGGCCGTTGGGGGGCGGGGGGCAGGGGGGG